GCGTCGCCCAGACGGGCGAAGCAGTGGGACTCTGTGTGGCCACGGGTCCCGCAAGGCTGACCAGTCCGGACACCTCTGCGAATGACGTACGGGTAGCGAGCAGTACTCAGTGACCCTCTACTCTGAGCGTACCACTCACGAAGCTGCTGGGGCGAAAGAGGACACGGCAGCTGCACCTGTCCACTACCAGAAGCTCCCGAACGACCCACTCCAGAGCGACTACCACCACGGCCACCCCGACAGCCCCAACTAGCGTACCACTCACGAAGCTGCTGCGGCGTGAGCAGCAGTAGCAGCAGTAGCGGCAGTAACAGCAGTAACAGCAGGAGCAGTAAAGGCAGTAGCAGGAGTAGCAACGGTAGCAGTGCGGGCAGGGCAATGCTCACCAGTGGTCGGCGAGGCAGGCGCAAGACGGTGGCGACAGCGGGGCCGCTACAACTGCAGGGCGGGGCCGGGCCGCGGCAGGGAGCTCCGCGGCAGCTGCTGCAGGGCGGGGCCGGGCCGCGACGGCAGCTGCTCCAGGGGCCAGGGGCGGCTGCTGCAGGGGCGGCTGCTCCAGGGGGCAGGGGCGGTTCTTGCAGTGGCGGCTGCTCCAGGGGCCAGGGGCGGCTGCTGCAGGGGCGGCTGCTCCAGGGTCCAGGGGCGGCTGTAGGTGCGGCTGCTCCAGGGGCCAGGGGCGGCTGCTGTAGGTGCGGCTGCACTAGGGGCCAGGGGCGGCCGTCCCAAGGGCGGGCGCGGGGTAGGGCGGGGCGCCACGGCGAGCAGCCGCCCCAAGGGTGAAGTCCCTGATGTCTTGATCCCTTGGATCCGCGCTGCCCGTCTCCAGCTTAGCGAGAGGTTCCACTCGGACTTTCCTTTCCTGCGTTGCACTCTGACAGAGGTGGGGAGTTTTCCTCCGACCTCTTGAGGGCCTTCTGTCTTCCTTGGCTTTGTCCCGGACGTGTCTGGTTGGCAGTTTTACCACCCCACCTCGCGCCGTGTCCTGCCCTCTCAGGACGTCACTTTCGATGAGTCCGTCCCCTACTACCGCCTCTTCCCCTATCGCACTGCCCCGCTCCCCCCTCCGCCTCTCTTCCTCGCTCCAGGTGCTGCTGTGGTAGACCCCCTCCCCCCTCAGGGTGCTGCTCCCTCAGGTGTGTCCCAGGTAGACCCGGTTGAGCCTGTCGAGGTAGCGGTTGACTCTCGTCCTGCTTGGGGTCCGGAGCCTGAGTGTGCGGAGCCTGGGGGTGTGGAGCCTGGGGGTGAGGAGCCTGGGGGTGCGGAGTCTGGGAGTGCTGAGCCTAGGGGTGCGGAGCCTGGGGGTGCTGAGCTTGGGGGTGCTGGACCTGAGAGTGCTACGTCTGAGGGTACTGAGCCTGGGGGTGCTGCGACTGAGAGTACGGCGCCTGGAGGCCCTCCCTCTTCACAGCAGCTGCGTGAGTGGTACTCGCGGTACTGCAGCCTCAGGAGAGGTGCTTCTGGGGCTAGGGGTGCTGCTGGAGCTGGTACTCGTGTTTCCCCACATAGGCGGGAGCTGCCCTCGCCCTAGCGGCTCCGAGAGTGGTACGCTCGGCGCTGCAGTCTCCGGAGTGGCGCTGCTGGTCCTTGGGACCCTGGAGCTGGAGCTACTACTGGTGCAGAGGACCCTGGCGTTGGAGCTGCTGCTGGTGCTGAGGACCCTGGTGTTGGAGCTACTGCTGGTGCTGAGGACCCTGGTGTTGGAGCTACTGCTGGTGCTGAGGACCCTGGCGTTGGTGCTGCTGCTGGTGCTGAGGACCCTGTTGTTGTTAGCGGTACTGGTGCTGCGGACCCTGGAGCTGGAGCTGCTGGAGGTACTGCTGGTGCTGGAGCTGCTGGAGCCGCTGGCTCAGGAAGTGCTCGTACTGGAGAGTCTGGCGCTGCTGCGGGGGCGGGAGCTGGAGTTACTGGAGCTGCCGGAGCTGCTGGTGGTACTGCGGGAGTTGTGGCTGGCGACCCTGGGGCTGAGGGTGCTGGTGTTGTCTCTGCTGGTTCCGGAGGTTCTTCGCGGCCGCGGCCGTACTACGTTCCGCTCCTTCACCAGGTTCTTGACCTCCCGCCCTCTCCAGGTCCTACTCCTCCCCTACTGAGTCCGCCACCGGTCCAGTCGCAGTCACAGTTACCGCCTGCCTCTCCGCTACCTGGTCCTTATCCTTACGCTGGGCCGACTAGAGGTCTTACGGAGCGTCGTGCACCTGAGTCTCGTCCTGTGTCGCCTGAGTCTCGTCCTGTGTCACCTGCGTCCAGTTCAGAGTCGCCTGTCCGTGCTCGTCGTCGTGTTCCGCGCGAGCGTCCTCCTCCTGTCCCTGGCACTCACTACATGACTCTACGTCCTTCCACTGCTCCACAGCGTGTCCCTCTGCCGTCTCCTCCCGCATCCTCTCTTCTTGCACTTACTGACCCGGAGTCTGACTCCCTTCGTGCTGCCAGTCCTACTGTCACGCGTCTCCTCGCCACTGTTGTCACTGACCCCACCTTTGAGTCCTCTGCTGCGTCTGCTCTAGTCGCTGAGTTAGTTGACTTTGCTGCCGCCTGTCGTCTAGACTACGCCGCTAGCCTTGTTGCTGAGTCTGAGTCTGTCTGTCCTCCGTCTGTCGGGGGTGAGTGTGCTCTTGGCACGGACGTCCTTGAGGACAGCCAGGAGGAGTTTGAGTGCTTTGCCGCTGCTTTACCTCATCTCGTGTCCATGCTCGTTGCCCCTGAGGGAGACCCGGATGCACCAGACATCCCGACCCCACGCTCTTACGCAGAGGCGATGGAGGGTCCCTACTCCTCTCAGTGGCAGACAGCCATGGACGCAGAGATGGCTTCCTGGAAGTCCACAGGCACCTACGTCGACGAGGTTCCCCCACCCGGGGCGAACATCGTCAGTGGCATGTGGATTTTCAGGGTGAAGCGGCCGCCGGGTTCTCCGCCTGTCTTCAAGGCGCGTTACGTTGCACGAGGCTTCAGTCAGCGAGAGCGAGTTGACTTCTTCCAGACCTTCTCCCCGACCCCGAAGATGACCACTCTTCGGGTTCTGCTGCACGTCGCCGCCCAGCGTGACTACGAGCTCCACTCTCTTGACTTCAGCACTGCTTTTCTACAGGGCAGTCTGAACGAGGAGATTTGGTTGCGCCGCCCACCTGGCTTCACTGGGTCGTTCCCTCCTGGTACCCAGTGGAGCCTCCGACGGCCAGTCTACGGTCTCCGCCAGGCACCCCGTGAGTGGCACGACACACTGAGGACTACTCTTGCTGCTCTTGGCTTTGCTCCTTCTACTGCTGACCCGTCGCTGTTTCTACGCACCGACACCACTCTGCCGCCGTTCTACGTTCTTGTTTACGTAGACGACTTGGTCTTTGCAACTGCTGACACTGAGGCACTCGCCCACGTGAAGTCGGAGCTGCAGAAGAGACACACGTGCACAGACCTGGGTCAGCTGACAAGCTATCTTGGCTTGTGGATCACCCGGGACAGAGCACAGCGCACCATCACCTTGACTCAGTCACACATGGTGCAGCAGGTCCTTCAGCGCTTCCGCTTCACGTACTCCTCGCCTCAGTCCACTCCTCTGCCTACCGGTCACTCGCTCTCAGCTCTGCCTTCGGATGAGTCCGTAGAGCCGAGTGGCCCGTATCCAGAGCTTGTGGGCTGCCTCATGTACCTGATGAACTGCACTCGACCTGACCTGGCATACCCCCTTAGCATCCTAGCACGCTATGTCGCTCCCGGCCGTCACCGGAAGGAGCACATGGATGCCGCTAAGAGGGTGTTGCGCTACTTGTGCAGTACGTCGGGCATGGGGCTCGTGCTTGGAGGACGGGCTCGAGTTGTCCTCACTGGTCACTCAGACGCTTCTTGGGCTGACGACCAGGCTACACAGCGGTCGTCTCAGGGTTACACCTTCAGCCTTGGCTCTGGTTCTGTTTCTTGGCGTTCTACTCGCTCGTCTTCTGTTCTCAGCTCCAGTTGTGAGGCTGAGATCTACGCCACAGCCATGGCTGCACAGGAGTTACGCTGGCTCACCTACCTGCTGACCGACCTGGGAGAGCGGCCTCGTTCTCCTCTAGTGCTGTACGTCGACAACAAGGCTGCCATTGCCTTGTGTGAGGAGCACAGATTGGAGCACAGAACGAAGCACATCGCTCTGCGTTACTTCCTTGCTCGAGAGCTGCAGCAGCGGGGTCAGCTTCGTCTTGCGTACGTGGCCACTCGGGCCAACACTGCTGATGTGTTCACCAAGGCGCTTCAGCATTGTGATTATCAGCGTTTCTGTACTGTTCTAGGCCTTGTGCCTACTGTCCCTCACTTGCTCACTTCTTGACTCTGCTTGTACTGTGATCTCTATATATATCCTGCATGTTTTCACTTGCTAGGTTGTGATTACTGTACCTCTTGTTATATTATCAAACTGCATGTGAACTGGTCTTATGACCACTTGCTTGTGCTCGGAATTTGTGTGGTATCCTTGAGATCCACCCTGAGCTTGTTTTGCTTTGCTTTGCTTTGACTGGTCTTGTGACCTCTTGCTCTCCCCCACTCAGCCTATGGGGGTGTGTCAAACATTATATATGTTATATTTGTGTAGGCTATAGTGGGTTAGCCTTCTAGGGGGTACACTACTCTAGGATTTGGTACTTGTACTCCCATTCCCCTTCCAGTTCATCATTCTCATTTCACTCTTAGATTCTAACACCCAATAGAACCAGCGATTCGCACGCCTCCCGCCGATCAGCTTGTAGTTAGCTGGAATTTCGCGGCTTAGCGATTTACCTGCTCGGCGCGGCTCATCGTTTTAACTGCTTGGCGGGGCTCAGCGCGGAGTAGCAGCGGAGCGGGAAATGGAGAGCGCGATACGGACAACGCGGAGAGCGCAGCAGAGTGGCAGCAGCGACACGCCCACACGGAGAATCAGGCTTGCGCGGTTTCGGGAGAAGGAAGACTGAGGTGTGCCCCGCAAGCGCGTTGGTGTGAAGCGTCGCTTGCGTGCGCGGGGTGTTTCGACACGTCAAGCGCACCTCATGGTAACCTGCACGATAGGATGCGCGCTCGCGCTTAGACACGCTTCCCCTTTCCAAGCACCTCTCCGCATGCCATGTGCGAACCCCAACGAATCCGATGACTCGTCCCCGTCCGTCTCTTGCCTTTTGCGCACCAATCCTCCCCCCCCCTTTCTCCTCACTAGTATCCGCGTGGGGATCTGGGCGGGGGGGGGCGGGGGGATCGCGGAGGCGAGGATGGAGAGCATCACGCACATTCCCGACCGTCTCGTCGCGCACTCGCACCGCCCACTCTCCTTGATTATCCGCACCCCCTTCGCGCTGTCTTGCCTTGTCCGCAACCCCCCCGCGCTCTCCGCGTGACACACGGCTGCTTTCGGTCCGTTCCCTCGTCCGTTGCGCGTGCCGCCCCATCCCCGCCTCCTTCTGACGTCGCGAGCAGCGCGGGTTTGCGCGAGCGCGGGGACTCGGCGGGTGGAGGCAGAAGGTGGTTGAAGCAGGGTGGGGAGCGCGGAGGGGCGGGTGGGAACGTGCGACTACGGCTGGGCGGCGAGCGCGGAAGAGTGGTGTTGAAGCGCGGATGTACGGTGGCGGCGCGGCGCGGCATTCCGTTACAAGCGGCCTCGATTGACCACGTGGTGACGCTCCCCAGGCATGTGGGAAGGGAAGCGGGGATGGGCACAAAGGGGGATGGGCAGCGGAGGGGGTGCTGACAGTCGTGCTGTGCTGGCACCCGTGGCAGCACAGTCAGCACAGGCGGCAAAAGGCGCTGCTGCTGCAATCTCCGCGCATCCCTGTGTCCCTCACCCCCCCTTCACTCAGCCATGCTCTCGTATTGCCATCCTCCCATTGCCATCCCCCCATTGCCATCCCCCCATTGCCATCCCCCTATTGCCATCCCCCCATTGCCGTTCCCCCATTGCCATCCCCCCATTGCCATCCCCCCATTGTCGTTCCCCCATTGCCATCCCCCCATTGCCATTCCCCCATTGCCATCCCCCCATTGCCATCCCCCCATTGCCATCCCCCCATTGCCATCCCCCCATTGCCATCCCCCCATTGCCATCCCCCCATTGCCACCCCCCCATTGCCATCCGCTCATAGCCGAATCCTTCCTCTGTCATTTCCTCCTCCTGCCATTCTCTGCTCCCTCATGCATGTATGGGACGGACATGCTCACCCATGCATCTTTTTTTTTTTTTTTTTTTTTGGTGGATATAAGTACACTACACGTATACATACATCCGCAGTCGTAACTCATTACCACTTCCCGTGCCCTGCATGCGGTTCCCAGCGAGTCACGGACCGTGATGGCCTTCCCCCAGTCGATCTTTCTCCCCAGCTCCTTGTCAAACTTATATGCTATAGTCTGTGTTGGCTATAGTGGGGTAGACAATATGGGGTATAACACTTTTAGGTCATTCTAATTGTACCCACCTGTTTTCCTAGTGCACTCATTCCTTGTTCTTTCACATGGTATAGAGCAGGTTCCCTAGTGGGAACGTTTCCTAGGGCCCACCGAAAATTCGAAAAAAAAAAATCCTGCCCGGAGCGCGTTTCACCCCTGCCCGAGTCGCGCCCCGCGTTCCCTGCCCTTAGTGGCCCCTTAGCCGCTCCCTCACGGCCCCTCGCGGCCCCTTAGCGGCTCCCTCGCGGCCCCACTCGCGGCCCCTCACGGCCCCTCTATCACGGCCCCTCGCGGCCCCTTAACCGCTCCCTCGCGGCCCCTCTCACGGCCCCTCGCGGCCCCTCTCACGACCCCTCCGCGGCCGTTCGCGGCCCCTCGCGGCCCCTCGCGCGGCCCCTCTCCCGGCCCCTCGCGGCCCCTCTCACGGCCCCTCGCGGCCCCTCCGCGGCCGTTCGCGGCCCCTCGCGGCCGTTCGCGGCCCCTCTCACGGCCCTGTCGCGGCCCCTCGCGGCCCCTCGTGGCTCGTCGCGGCTCGTCGCGGCCCCTCCGCGGCCCCTCTCTAGGCCCCTCGTGACCCCGTCGCGGCTCCCTCGCGGCCCCGTCGCGGCTCCCCCGTCGCCCCTGCCCGCTGCGGCGCCCTGCCCCAACCCGCGCCCTGGGACAGCCGCCACTGTAGCAGCCGCCCCTGGAGCGTCGTCCCTGCAGCAGCCGCCCCTGGAGCAGCCGCCACTGCAGCAGCCGCCCCTGGAGCAGCCGCCACTGCAGCAGCCGCCCCTGGAGCAGCCGTCCCTGCAGCAGCCGCCCCTGGAGCAGCCGTCCCTGCAGCAGCCGCCCCTGGAGCAGCCGCCACTGCAGCAGCCGCCCCTGGAGCAGCCGTCCCTGCAGCAGCCGCCCCTGGAGCAGCCACCACTGCAGCAGCCGCCCCTGGAGCAGCCGCCACTGCAGCAGCCGCCCCAGGAGTAGCCGCCATTGCAGCAGCCGCCCCTGGAGCAGCCGTCCCTGCAGCAGACGCCCCTGGAGCAGCCACCCCTGGAGCAGCCGCCCCTTGAGCAGCCGCCACTGCAGCAGCCGCCCCTAGAGCAGCCGCCACTGCAGCAGCCGCCCCTGGAGCAGCCGTCCCTGCAGCATCCGCCCCTGGAGCAGCCGCCACTGCAGCAGCCGCCCCTGGAGCAGCCGCCACTGAGCAGCCGCCCCTGGAGCAGCCGCCCCTGCAGCAGCCGCCCCTGGAGCAGCCGCCCCTGCAGCAGCCGCCCCTGCAGCAGCTGCCCCTGGAACAGCCGCCCCTGCAGCAGCCGCGGAGCCCTCGACCTACAGTGGTAGCGGACTCGCCGTTGCCGCCGTCGTACGCCTGCCCTTCTCGCCACTGGTGAGCACTGCCCTGCCCGCACTCCTGTTACTGCTGCTCTTGCTGCTACTGCTCTTTCTACTGCTACTTCTGCTCCTGGCGTGGCCAAATGCAGCTCCAGCGCCGTCCACGTGAGTCCCTCGCCCCGCACCAGCTTCGTGAGTGGTACGCTAGTTGGGGTTGTAGGGGTGGCCGCGTTGCGACTACTGCTACTGCTTCTACTGCTGCTACTGCTGCTACTGCGGCTACCACTGCTCCTCCTGCTCCTGGCGGTGGCCAGATGCAGCTCCAGCGACGTCCGCGTGAGTCCCTCACGCCCCAGCAGCTTCGTGAGTGGTACGCTACTTGGGGTTGTCGGGGTGGCCGTAGTGGGAGTAGTTCTGGCGTGAGGAGATCGGGAGCTGCTTGTAGTGGCCAGGTGCAGCTGCAGCGTAGTCCGCGCGCGGTCCTTTCGCCCCAGCAGCTTCGTGAGTGGTACGCTCAGCGTGGAGGGTCACGGAGTACTGCTCGCTGTCCGTACGTCATTCGCACTGGTGCTCGGACTGGTCAGCCCTGCGGGACGCTTGGTCACGCCGAGTCCCGCTGCTTCGCCCGTCTGAGCGACGTCTGGCGTACGGAGTTTGGCGACGCCGCTGAGCTCCCCGACTGGGTGGAGCTGCTTAGGCAGAGGGTAGATATCTATACTCTTGACTATGATGCTATCCTCACTGCCATGTATGCATTGCCTACTAGTGATGTGGGTGACTGTTACCTGTGTGTTCCGCCTGACCCGGGCATTGAGGCTGCTGCTCTAGGTACTGGTGAGGCTGCTGCTCTAGGTGCTAGTGCGTCTGCTCCTCCAGGTGCTGGTGAGTCTGCTGCCCCAGGTACTGGTGTGTCTGCTGCCCTAGGTGCTGGTGAGTCTGCTCTCTCAGGTACCACGTCGTCTCAGGTGTTACACACCTTCACCCTTGACTCGGGTGCTTCCCGCTCCTTCTTTCGAGACCGCACCACACTCACGCCGCTTTGTCGGCCGGTTGCAGTCTCCCTGGCGGACCCCTCTGGGGGTCCCGTCCTTGCCCACTTCTCCACTGTCTTACCGTGTCCGGCTGCCCCTTCTGGCTCCCTGTCAGGTCTTTACCTCCCCTCGTTCTCTACGAACTTGGTGAGTGGTGCTGACCTACAGGACGCAGGGGTTGATCATTTCACTCCTGCGCGTCAGCGAGTGACCCACTGTACGTGTGCTCGGACGGGCAGACACTTGGCCACGGGGTCGAGCCTGTACACACTGACTACTGAGTCTCCTCAGGTAGCTGCGTCGAGTCAGGTGTTTGCTGCAGCGTCTAGGTCTGGTCCAGGTCTGGTCCTGAGTCTGCCCCCTGCTCGTGTCGTCTCCTGTCTCACCAGACCCTCCTTTGGCACCACCGCCTTGGTCACCCCTCCCTGCCTCGTCTCCGAGGCATGGCCTCTCGTTTCCTTGTTGTTATAGTCACAATAGGCTTGAATGTGCCTAAAACGAAAGATAGAGAGCACAGACGGATTTCTGCACAGCGGCTTCAAACGTTGATAGCGTTCTGCTCACAGCTGCAAATGACTTGATTCAAATTGGATCTGGAGCGTCTTCACGTCGTCTACAATTATCAATTTAGATTGCACGATTTGATAAAGAATTGACGACACAGCGTCGGTTTGAACGAACGGTACTATGGCAGCCACTATAGTCTTAGAACACAAGATAGGAAGAGTTACGAATTGGGAATGACTCCCAGCTCCTACAAACCCCAAGAGCCGAGGTACAGTGATGTGGAACAGTGCCACACTGTCCCCAACCACGAAGGGTCTTGAAACTACCCTTCACTAGGGCCTACACCAAGTGAAATGTTACACTACACAAAGTAATGTAACTATCTTCAATATCTTGAGGTGTACCCTTTTGGCGAGCTTCGAAATCACTTGAGGCTTGACACCAAGGCTCGGGCTCTTCATCACAAACTCATCCTTGAGTTCTTGATGGGTCTGCTGCACACACCTGCGACACGCCGAACGTTCGACACAGGACAAAATAGAAACCGCGCACGACAAAATAGAAACCGCGCGCGAGACACAAACGACCGCGTAACACGCGTCTAGCGATAACTCGCTATTGACTCAACACACACACTCGACATCATGACTCAACATTCACACACAATTATAAGCATGAAATATATATTATCCCATGCCCTCATACCATTCCATACACACACACATTTACGCACACGGACAACAAGCCGAGTGCAAACCGTAGGGTTGCACCAACACTTGTCTCGGGTCTCCCCCGGTCCCTCCCTTCTCTTCCTCCGGGGCCTGGCCCCACCTGCGTTCCCTGCGTCGAGGGGCGGCAGCGTGCCGCCCCTCACTCCTCCGAGTTTCCTCCGACAGAGGCTCCGCTGCAGACGCTTCACATGGACGTGTGGGGCCCAGCCCGCGTCCGTGGACAGGGTCACGAGCGTTACTTCCTGCTGGTGGTTGATCGACTGGATCCGCGCAGCTCGTCTCCAGCTCAGAGAGAGTTTCGGCTCGGACTTTCCTGTTCAACGTCTGCACTCTGACAGAGGCGGTGAGTTTTCCTCTGACCTTCTGAGAGCCTTCTGTCGTACACAGGGCATCCGCCAGACGTTCACGCTTCCGGCCTCTCCACAGCAAAATGGGATTGCTGAGCGCCGCATTGGCATGGTCATGGATGTCGCTCGTACGTCCATGATCCATGCGGTTGCTCCCCATTTTCTGTAGCCGTTCGCGGTTCAGTACGCGGCGCATCAGATCAACCTTCAGCCCCGGGTATCCTTGCCGGAGACCTCCCCCACTCTGCGGTGGACGGGGAAGGTTGGCGATGCATCTGCGTTTCGTGTCTGGGGATCTCGGGTTTTTGTCCGCGACTTGTCTGCGGACAAGCTCTCCCCCCGTGCTGTTCCCTGCGTCTTTCTTGGCTTCCCCCCTGACGCGCCTGGTTGGCAGTTTTACCACCCCACTTCGCGCCGTGTTCTGTCTTCCCAGGACGTCACCTTTGACGAGTCGGTCCCCTTCTACCGTCTCTTCCCCTACCGCACTGCCCCGCTCCCCCCTCCGCCGCTCTTCCTCACGCCAGGTGCTGCCTTGGTAGACCCCTTGCCTCCCCAGGTTCCTGCTCCCTCAGGTGTTTCCCATGTAGACCCGGTCGAGCCTGTCGAGGTAGCTGTCGACTCTGGTCCTGCGCGAGGTTATGAGGGTGCTGAGCCTGGGGGTGCGGAGAGTGCGGGTGCTGAGCCTGGGGGTGCAGAGACTGGGGGTGCCGAGCCTGGGGGTGCAGAGACTGCAGGTGCTGAGCCTGGGGGTGCTGTCCCTGGGGGTGCT